TCCTCCTCCTCCTCCTCCTCCTCCTCCTCCTCCTCCTCCTCCTCCTTCTCCCCCCTCCTCTTGCTCCACCGCTATTCCTTCTCCTTATGAATAACTTCTCCCTGTCGCACCCCGAGGCCGTTTTTGGGGCGGTCTGGGCGGTCCGCCTGAAACCTCTAAGTCATCTGTGGTACTTTGACAACAGCTTCACACATGGAGGTCGGGTCGTTTTCAAACTGTGGCTCTCGCCATAGCGCCACGCTCGTTGTAAACATTTGTAAGAGCTCAACGGATTGAGGGCGGGTGGTTTTCAACATGTGGCTCTCGCTTTAGTGCCTCGCACATTCGTTTTCAATCATTGCAGCAGTTTCGCGGGCTGAGGGCGGATGGTCTTCAACATGTGGCTCTTGCCTCAGCACTGCGCACATTATTTTCAAACATTTGCCAGAGTTTCACAGGCTGATGGCGGCTCCTTTTCAAATATGGCTCTTGCCTTAGCGCCGAGCACATCCGTTTTGGAACATTTGAAAAAGTTTCACGGCTGCCCATGATCAGCGTACCAGAAATGGTTCTTTGGACGGGCTCCGGATTAGGAGGGTGCAACAGTTATGGTGGCTCGCGGTGTTGAAGTTCAAGGACTGGCGTTCTGGTACGATTCAAGATCGTCAAGGCGCAGCAGTCAGGTTGATCCGTGGCGTTGGAATCCCGACAACACTGTTTTTGCATGCTTCAGGGTCTTCAAACGGCTGTCTTTCAACGAGAGAGTTCGTTGTGGAACTGGAACGTTCTAGGGGCCTATGAAGATGGAGCTTGGAGGGAGGGTTTATTCCAACATCGCTGATGAATCTTGGGTTTTCCCTGATCCTCTCTCTTCATCCTCCTCCTCCTTCTCGTTTTCCGTTCTCTCCTCTCCGCCCTCATCCACTCACCTCCTCGACCTCGAGCACTCGATCATCCTGACCCTCCTCCTTCTCCTCCTCCTCCTCCTCTTCCTCCTCCTCATCATCATTCTACCCCCCCCCCCGTGTCCTCCATGTCTTCCTCTCCCTACTGCTTCGCATATCTCTCCTCTCTCCTCCCTGCAGCCTCCTCCTGCTGCTTCGCAGCTACTCGGTGTGAAGTCTACTCCCCTCTACCTGAATCCTGTCCGAGGGAAGCCCTTTCACCTCACTGCTGTACACCCCGCCGAGGGGGAGGAAGAGGAGGAGGAGGAGGAGGAGGAGGAGGAGGAGGAGGAGGAGAAGGACGAGAAGGAGCGCTCTTTTTTGGAGGGAGCACTCAGGTGGCGGGGCGAAGTCGAAGCATGCAAAGTCCGCAGCCACGAGATCGCACACCCGCCTCGTGTCGTTTCCCGTCAGCTGGCCGATCGCGCGGTCGATCTGGGACTTGCACCCGGGGTACCAGCCGGTCTGCTTTCGGGATGCCCCCGGGGCCTCGGACGAAGAACAACAAACGACTGCACGAGCAGAAACCATCGAACGTCCGCGCGGACTTCTTGGATTGGCGCTGGACGCCCGCGCCAGGGTCGGCGCCAGAGTGAGGGGGAACTGGGACACACAAATAAATACACACAAATGAAACGATTCCCCATATTTTCCCATATTTTCTGGGTTTTTGTCTTCCCCCCCACTTCCCATATTTTCCTATATTTTCTGGGAATCGCCGATTAATTGTGTCTGTGTGTTTTTTCCCCTCCTGACAGAGGCACCACCAGAGGGGTTCCAGCGCAGATCCGAGCAAGCCGAGCGGACCTCCGAGAGTAGGTGTGGCTGTGCAGATGCTCCTCCCTCGAAGGGCCTCGAAGGCGCTCGCCAGGAAGCGGGAGAGGTTGCCCAGCTTCCCGATGAACCTGTACGAGTTCGGGCCTGGAAGGGGCTCGATGTTGTACACCACGTGCTTGGTCGGCCAAGGGGCTCAGTCAATAGACGCCCCAACTGCCTGAACTGTGGTGTGCTGGAGCGTCTAGACAATGCATTCCATCGCCGCTGTCTTTGGCTCCTTGGCCGGCCGATCGACGTGGTGTTATATATCAAGCCCCTCCGAGGGCCCTGCAGGTCTCCGGTCGGCATGTCCTCGGGAAACGGACATGTACCGACACCGCTACTCGCTGGACCTCTCCCGGGGTGAGGTCCGATCAGAAAACCGAGGCGAACCCAGCGGTGGCAACCAGGGCCTCCCCTGAATCCCAAGAAGGGACAAGGAGGCGATGACGATGACGATGTCGATGACGCGCTCGGCATTCAGCAAGCATCGTCATCGTCATCGTCTCCATCATCGTCATCGTCGTCGTCGTCGTCGTCATCGTCGTCGTCATCAGCATCGTCATCGTCATCGTCATCGTCATCGCCCAGGAGCCCGACGTCTTGATGCTCTCAGTCAGTACGGGGTCCCCAGAGGTCCCGAGCCTTCCTCCCAGGGCCAGCTCTTCCACCCGAGCATCGTCCCTCTGGGCGGTGATTGGGGCCCGGCGACAGCCCCCAAAAGGCCGAGATAGGCAGGAAAACCTCCAGCCCCGACTGTGGTCGCTCTGGATGCCTATGGATGCCTGGCCAGAGTCTGGGAAGGCATCCAGGCATCAGGCATGTCTGGGAACCAGATATGATCGCGTCGTTGAACAAGCAGGACGGGGGCGGCCCCGGGGGGCCCTCGCCTGGCCTCGGAACCGTCAGAAGACGACTCGGGACGAAAAACCGGACCCGGGAAAGGGTCGTGACTTCCAGGAATGCCGCCCCGAAAAAAGTCAGGACGTCGCATGCCTGGAACTGCTGTCGCTCTGGACGCCTTGGGTGCCTTTTCCTCCTCCGAGGTCCACGTCGATCTTGGCGGCCTGCGGCCAGACGTGGAAGGCCATGTCGTCCACGAAGAGCCCCTGGCCGAGGTCGGAGAGGAGCGCACGCAGCGAGTCCACCGTGACGGACGCGGGCCGCCCCGCGAAGCGCCTAGGAGCATCGTTCAGCCGCTCCCCGTCCCCACTGGCGTGGCCTCGTGGCCCCACTGGCAGACTTACCCCACGGAGGTTGAGATTTCTGAGCGACTATCAGACTAAGGGCTTACGCGAGACGACATAGCGACCTTACGGCGTCGTCGTCGTCGTCGTCGTCGTCGTCGTCGTCGTCTTCGCCGTGGCCGTGGCCGTGGCCGTGGCCGTGGCCGTGGCCGTGGCCGTGGCCGTCGCCGTCGCTGTCGTCGCCGTCGTCGTCACCGTCGACGTTGGTCGCCGTCGCAGTCGTCGACGTCTTCGTCGTCCTCACCGTCGTCGTTGTTGCCGTCGCCGTCGCCGTCGCCGCCGCCGCCGTCGTGGTCATGGCCGTGGCCGTGGCCGTGGCCGTGGCCGTGGTCGTGGTCGTGGTCGTCATCATCGTCGTCGTCGTCGTCGTCGTCGTGTCGTCGTTGTCGTCCCCCATGCCATCTGTGTGCGAGAGGGGGGCCGCGGGGCCCTGAAACCCATTCCATTCTATCTGGGGGGGGGAGCACGGGCCCGGTGCCCACGAGGGTCGAAGCCAGGTCGAGGGTTCACAGGCTCTCCCCCCTAGATGGGATGGGGGGCACGACGACGACGACGACGACGACGACGACGACGACGACGGCAACGGCGACGACGGCACCGCAGCACCACCCCACGCCTAGAAGGAGAGGGGCGGGGGCAGCGGCACCCCCCTCCACCTCCACCACGCCACGCCCACAGGGCCACGACCACATGGGGGGTGGAGCGATCCCACTCGCGAGGCTCAAGGTCGTACCCATCCAGCGATGGGGGCGGGGGGGGGCGATCCCATTAGTAATGGGAATGGCCAGGAAGCTCTGGATCATGTATGCCCTCGCCTTCTTGTTTCGCGGGGCCCAGCCCCACCTAGGAGGGTGGGCTGGTGGGGCTGAGGTTACAGCGGAGGCCAGTCCACAAGAGACCTTCCGCAAGAAACCCAACCTTGAGACCCTAGGACGTTCATTGTCTTTTGGTGTAGGAGCGTCGCGCTTGCCACAGCAAAACCATCGAAGCCCAAGAAACCCAGGGCAACCTGGAGGCAAGCAGGGTGTTTCTTGGCATGGGTCTCCACTGTACCATGGCCCAGTGGGGATGGGGAGAGGCGGTTGGACGACACTGGGCCTCCAGAACACGCCGGGCGTGACCTCCTCACGGGCGGGGCCGAGCTTGCCCGCCCGGCCCGGCTGCAGCAGGCTGCAGATGGTCTCCTCTTCGGGCCCAGACTTGTGTTGCCCCCATCGTACTTAAGGACCACATCCCAGAAATAATTTCGAGCACCCAGAAAAAGGATCGAAACAGTATCGAACTAGTATCGCCTCGCAAGGCCCGACGCGTGAAAACCCTCCAGTTCCGGAACTGTCCTGGGTGCTCGAAATCCTTTCTGGTGATCAAGGCTAAAGTAGGTTACATCATAAGCCCAGACCCCCGCGCGTCATGGAAAAGAATCACGACGGAGGCTCTGAGCTACTTCTGGCCTCCAGGGTGCGGGCCTCGGAACTGTCAACAAAACGACTCAGGAAGAGCTGGTCCGGGAGTATGGGTCCCGAGCGATGCGACGTCCTGACTTCTTGAAAACGCGGTCCCCTGAAGTCCTGACCCTTTCCCCAAGGCCCGCTTGTCCTACTGAATCGTTTTTAGACGGTCCCCGGGCCCAGCGAGGGCCCCTGGAGGCCGAACATGGCCAAAAACCTTCCGTCGCGGTTTTTTACGACGCGATCATGTCTGGTTCCAGACCTCTGGGGGTCGACGCTGTGGAAAGATCGTGGCGTCTGGGGTCTGGAAAGGGCGGGTCGAGGCGAAACGGCGGCTTTCCCCGGCGGTCGTTCGTCCTAGTGGGGTGGGGTCTACTCGTCGCCTACTCGTCGCCACGCCTGGGCGCCCTCCCCGAAGAGCGTGCCAGGCCCAGACATGCGACGTCCTGATTTTTTCAGGGCGGCGTCCCTGGAAGTCCCGACCCTTTCCCCGGGACCGGTTTTTCGTACTGAGCCGTTTCTTGACGGTCCCGAGGCTCGGCGAGGGCCCCCGCGGGGCCGCCGCAACCTCCCGCCGCGGCGGGAAAGCATGCAACAACAATCGGAACATCGTCGCCAGAGCCTTGTTTAACTAGTTTTGGGCAGTCCTCCTGTAGAGGGGCGGGCCCGACTTACCTCTGAGGGTCGACGCTGCGAAGAAAAATCACGGCTTCTGGGGTCTCTGGGGAGCCGCCGCTGTCTCTAGCTGGCTCGTCTCCACGCCTCGGACGGAAGACTCAAACGTGCAGGGAGGAGAACGGGGAAAGGCAAGGCGGTAAACATAATAATAAGCAACTACATAGACATAAACTTAGGTCGGGTATGCCCCCCCCTACAGATGGATGTTGGACGAACATAAAAAATAAAGCAAAAAAACAGAAAGGTCAAACATTGTCAAACATCGTCCCCAGATAATGCGTTTAACTATGTTTGCAGATTCCTCCTGTAGAGGGAAGTGCCCGACTTAAACGTAAACTGTTGGCGCTCCGCGCGGAGAGCCAACGATTTATGCTTATGGCGCTTCCTTTTTCGAACAAAGGCGCTAAAGCTATGGGTGCGACCTGTCGGCGCCCAGGAGTCCTCCCGTTCGAGCGGGACCCCCATCCCACAACTCATAATTAGTTGCCTGCAGCCCTGGTGGACTCCAGGCCCCGAGGCTGGCGGATCTGGGAGACCTTGGACCCCAAAGGGCTGCTCCCGCCGCCGTTCCTTCCGCCGCCTTCCGCCGATCTGCCGCGCCTTGGGCCGATCTTCCGCCGCCTTCCGCCGACCTTCTCTTGCGAAGGCATCGTCTACTCCCGCCGCCTTCCGCCGACCTCCAGCCGTCGGCGTGGCCGCCTCCGCTGTACTTCCGCCGGCCGTCCGCCCCGGAAGGAGGTGCCGACGACGCCCTCGAGCCCTCGAGGGCGAGGCCTGCCTGGCGAGCGCCCCACGCGGGCTCCGGAGGGCACGTGGAGCGGCCACGACTCCCCAGGCAGGCGCTGTGCTGACAGCTTCAATACGGAGCCCCTGAGGTGAAGTAGGGCCTGTCCAGCTACAGGGGAAGTACTCAAGGATAGTCAAACATAATCCGGGGACGATTTTTTTACAATTGTTGATTATTTGTTTGGCATTTGTGGTGTATGGCCCCAAATCCGCCTGTAGAGGGGGCACGCCCGACCTAACTCTAAGGAGGTCCCGATCGCCCATTCCCCGGGACAGGCTGTTCCTCCTGGATAAGTCTCCAGACGGCCACGCGTGGCCCGGCAAGGGCCCCTGGAGGCGGAGACTTGCCAAAAACCCCGCGCCGTGATTGTTTTACGACGCGATCATGTCCCCAGACATGCGACGTCCTGATTCTTGCTGGACGGCGTCCCTGGAAGACCCGAGCCTTTCCCCGGGATTGTTTTTTTGTCCTGAGTCGTTTCTTGACGGCCTTGAGGCCCGGTGAGGGCCCCCCGAGGCCGACGCGATCATGTCTAGGAAAATCAGAAAGTACTGATACCGCTACTTCCTGGACCTATCCTGGGGTGCGTTCTGACCCGGACTCCGAAGCGAAGCCGGCGGTGGCGGCGAGGGCCGCCGAGGAGGCCCGAAAAGGGATAAAAGCGGGCGGAGGGTAGAGGTATGGGCACCTTTTGCCCCGCTGAATGGCCGGGTCCTTGACGCCTGCCCAGAACACGTGCACCGGGTCGTGGACGAAGGTCATGACCAGGGCGGAGGGCTCCACGAGGAGCTGCGACGGGGCACTGCCGGCCCGCCCGCGGGCGGTAAACCACCAGCGGCTGCAGCCCCTGTTGCCGCTCTGGTCCTGCCGGGCGGCCGGCCAAGGGGGGGGGAGGGGGGACACTGCACCAAGCTTGGGGGGGGTCCCCTCCTCCTCCTCCCCCTCCTCCCCCTCTCCCCCTCCTCCTCCTTCCTCCTCCTCCTCTCCTCCTCCTCCTCCTCCTCCACCTCCTGCTCCTCCTCCTCCTCCTCCCTCCTCCTCCTCCTCCCCCTCCTCCCTCCTCCCCCTCCTCCCCCTCCTCCTCCTCCTCCTTCCTCCTCCCTCCTCCTCCCTCCCCTCCTCCCCCTCCTCCCTCCTCCTCCTCCTCCTCCTCTCCTCCTCCTCTCCCCTCTCCTCCTCCTCCACCTCCTCCTCCTCCTGTCTCCTCCCTCCTCCTCCTCCTCCTCCTCCTCTCTCTCCTCCTCCTCCTCTGCTCCTCCTCCACCTCCTGCTCCTCCTCCTCTCCTCCCTCCTCCTCCTCCTCTCCCCCTTCCCCCTCCTCTCTTCCCCTCCTCCTGCTCCTCCTCCTCTCCTCCTTCATCCTCCCTCCTCCTCCACCTTCCTCCTCCTCCTCCTCCTCCACCTCCTGACTCCTCCTTCCATCCTCCCCTCCTCCTCCTCCTCCTCCCTCCTCTCCTCCTACCCCCTCCTCCCTCCCTCCTCTTCCTCCTCTCCTCCTCTCCTCCTCCTCCCTCCTCCTCCTTCCTCCTCCTCCTTCTCCTCTCCTCCTCCTCCTCCTCCTCTCCTCCACCTCCTCCTACTCATCTGCTCCTCCTCCCTCCTCCTCCTCCCCCTCCTCCCCCTCCTTCCCCTTCCTCTCCTCCTCCCTCCTCCTCCTCCTCCTCCTCCTCTCCTCACCTCCTCCTCCCTCCACCGTGCTCCTCCTCCTCCTCCTCCCTCCTCCTCCTCCCTCCCCCTCTCCCTCTCCTCTCCTCTCCTCCTCCTCCTTCCTCCTCCTCCTCCTCCTCCTTGCCGCCTTCCCCTCCTCCTCTCCTCCTCTCCTCCTCCTCATCCTCCTCCTCCTCCTCCTCCTCCTCCTCCTCAGCCTCCTCCTCCTCCTCCTCCTCCTCTTCCTCCATTATTCCTTCGCGTATAAGTAATTTCTCCCTGTCGCCCCCCCCCCCCCAGGTCCGTTTTTTTGGGGCGGGCCGGGCGTTTAGCAGCAGTTTCACAGATGGGGGGCGGGTGGTTTTCAAAATGCCGCTCTCGCCTTAGCGCCGCGCACATTCGTTTCAAACATGTGCAAAAACTTCACAGATGGAGGGCAGGTGGTTTTCAACATGTGACTCTCACCTTAGCGCCGCGCACATTTCCCCAAAAAACTGCAATAGTTTCACGAATTGGGGGGCGCATATTCGTTTTAAATTGAGGGCGGGTGGTTTTCAAAATGTGACTCTCGCATTAGGTATTAGCGCCGTGCACATTCGTTTATAGTATGTTCAAGGTTTTCACAGAATCCCATGATGAACGTGCCAGATATCGCGTTTTGGAAGGAATCAGGACCATGCGCGTGCAATAGTCATGTTGGTTCGCGGTGTTTAAGTCCCAAGGATGGCGTTCTGGCACGATTCCGGATCGCCAATACGCAACAGTTAGGTTGATCCGTGGCGTTGGAATCCCGAGAACAATGGTTTGGCATGTTTCAGGCTCCTCAAACGGTTGCCTATAGGCAGCTCCCTCAATGGAAATGAACCGTTGTAGGGGCCGATGAAGAGGGAGCTTGGAGGGAGGGTTTATTCCAACATCGTTGATGACTCTTGGATTTACACTGGTCCTCCTCCTCCTCCTCCTCCTTCTCCTCCCCCTCCTCCCCAGACCTCCAACGAGTGGAACCAATCCACGCGGCAGCTTTGCTCTACTTTCGGCCACTGGGGGGCCTTCATTACCGGGGCCCGGGGCCATCAAATATCCAGTCAGGATGAAGAATCGGACCCTGAGAATGGGTCGAGGCCTCCAGGGACCGCGCATTGAAAAACATGAAGACATCGAATGTCTGGGATTGGATTGCAGCGCCTGTCACCCCAACCCAACCCGAAGACCCAAAATTCGGGTTGGGGGAGGTGCGGGTTTCACATATTTGTTTTCAGTGTTCGCCGACGCCCCCCCCTCTTGGTCATGGAGGGCACATTGGGGCCGTCAGGTTGGGTTGGGTTGGTTTGGTGGGTGGTGAGCCACGAGCACTCGATCCGGGACCCGGTACTTGCCGTTCCGGTAGTAGAGGCAGGTCAGCTCCTCGCTGCTCGCGCGCAGCATGACCGCCACCCAACTGTCCGACGATGCGGTGAAGGCATTGGATAAGGAACCCTTAGATAAGGAATCCAGGGTCTGGAAGCTGGTGAACCACCACTTGGAGCTTGACCATGGAAATCATCGCCGCCCTTACCAGGTAAGGAATCCTCAAGGGTCTGGAGCCTCCTGGGCACATTCCCCCAACGCACTGTGATTCTTTCAACCCGCGTTGTTTTCCGAATTTCGGCCTCTGGGGACCGCTATCGGGCCCCAGGGCTATCAAACATCGATCCAGGACTGAACCCCAGGGGAAGCGGTCGGGATTTCGGGGGCCGCGGATTGAAACACATCGATCGAATCGGCTGAAGTCAGGGCACCAGGCCGAAGGCACTGAACGGAGTGGCCCTCAGAAGGCCGGCGTCGAGGCCCCCGAGAGGCCTCCCAGAAGCCTCCCAGAGGCCTCTCGCGAGGGGGCTCTGCTCCACAACCTGGGCACGGGGGCAGGTTCGGCCGAAGCCCACTCGATGCGCCGCCCAAGTGTAGGCTGCGAAGACGTGTTGGCGTGCCGAGTTTTATCACAGCTGTCTATGACTCCGTTTTTCTCCTCCTCCTCCTCCTCCTCCTCCTCCTCCTCCTCCTCCTCCTCTGGCCCAGCGTCTGGCCCCAAGGGGCGCTCCCCAAAGGGCAGCGGGCGGCCCTGACTCGCCGCAGGCGTCTCCGATGCTTGCCCTGTTTGTGCCAGGTGGTGGTCCCCGCCTTCTGGTTGGCCACGACCACCACCGGCGTCACCTCGCCTGCGCCGCGCCGCACCAACTCTGGGGCGATCCTGCTGGTGCGGACACCGAACCTGAACGCCAGGTTGGCCGTGCGGAAGGAGGGGCCGACCGTGCCCTGCCAGCGGTGGAAGCTCTCGGCGCCCCGCAGCCGCTGGCAGCCGTCGCTGTAGTACCTCTCGGCGAGGGCCGTGCCCTCTGCCAGGAAGCTGCCCAGCGCTGCGGAGGACCCGGACCTCCGACGTCGGGGCTGCTGGCCCACAGCCGTGGGCCCCCCATGGAGCTCTGCCCAGACCACCTCGCGTTTTGACAAAGCTACGGCGGGAGGTTCTTGGCCATGCTCGGCCTCCGGGGGCTCTCGCTGGGCCCAGGAGGCCGTCAACAAAACGGCTCATGCAGGATGAAAAACAGGCCCGGGGGAAAGCGTCGGGATTTCCGACGAGCGCGCACTGACGACGTCAGGACGTGCTCTCTGCCACCACAGGAGGCCCGACATCCCTCGTCGTGCCGCATCCGCCTGCGGCCCGAGGGCCATCGGAAGGAGCACGCGGCGACTGCACGCCTCGTGGCAGGCCTCCTGGCGCCAGCGGTGCAAGCTGCGGCTGCGCAAACAAAAAACTGTGCCACGATGATCGGACCCATGGAAAAGGAGGAGGAGGACGAGTTTACGCTCTGGCCGAGGGACTCGCCAGCAGCACTCAGGACGCCGCGGGGCCAGCGCAACCTCGTCCCCCACCAACAGCCTCCCCGTGTGGAATGTTGGCCCTTGGTGGTGCCCTCGAATCCTTCGCAAATGTTTCGCCCTGGATCGTTTTGTTGACGGGCCGCGACGGAACTGAGCACGGGGCCCAAACGGGCCCAATATGAGGAAGCACATTCGTCCGGTGCCCCGCACCTGCGAGGTCGTGCCTTTGTTGCAGCGTGGGCCACCGAATGTCTAGACCACTTCCCTGGACCAGTGTTTCAATCCCGAGTTCATTTCTCACGGCCCAGGGACCCGGTGAGGGCCACCGTGGAGGCAGAAACTTTGGAAAAGCCTCCCGACAGGAGGAAGCCGAGATTCTGCCACGACTACGTTGCCAATGCGATGAGCCACTCATCCCGTTCCGGCCGCGTGCCTCGAGTGAGCTCACCAGTGACATCGTCCTCAGCGCTATGGCAGAGGAGGAGAGAAAGGAGCAGGGCGAGACGAAGGAGGAGGAGGAGGAAGGAGGAGGAGGAGGAGGAGGAGGAGGAGGAGAAGGAAGATGAGCGAGAGGAGAGGGACGAGGAGGGAGGAGGAGGAGGAGGAGGAGAAGGAGGAGGGGAGGAGGAGGAGGAGGAGGAGGAGGAGGAGGAGGAGGAGGAGGAGGAGGAGGGAGGAGGAGGAGGAGGAGGAGGAGGAGGAGCAGGAGGTGGAGGAGGAGAACCAAAACAACGAGGAGAAGCAGAAGGGGGAGAAGCCCAAGGGCTCCGCCACGACGCGCGGAGGTCCGGGAACGGCCCAGCGGGGGCGCGCGGCCTCTCGCCCAGGGCGCCCGGGTGCCCGGCCGGCGAGGCCGGCGGCAGGGGGCCGCGGAGCCCGCCGCCCGCCGCGCGGTCGGCCCGGGAGAGGCGCAGCGACGGGTCTTCGAAGCCCGGCTGCACGCAGGAAGCCACCCTCCCAGACCCCCTCGGGGAATGAAAAAATCATGACGGGAGGTTTTGGGTTATGTTCGGCCTCTGGGGGCCCTTATACCGGCCCTCGGGACCGTGAAAAAACGATTCGGGACGAAGAACCGGTCCGGGGGAAGGGGTCCAGACCTCTGGGGGTCGACGTTGCGAAAAAATCACGACGTCGGGGGTCTGGGCTGGCCGCTGCCGACAAGGATGGCCCAGGCAGGAGCGCGTCGTGAAGCAAGCAGCGCATGCGGCAGGGAGGCCCCGGGCGAGGCTCGAGGCGGGGGAGGAGGAGCATCGAGAAGCTGTGAGGTCCAGCGGTCCTGGAAGATGTACCGGGCGCCGCGGCCTTCACGCTCTGAGAGCGTTCCGGAACGCTCCCGAACGGATTTATCCTCGTCCTGGCCCCGTCCGAAGAAGCGACCCGAGGCCCGCCTGAGCCCGTTCGGAGAAGGGAACCCTGAGGACACCAGGCAAGAGTGAACTCGTGTGCGCTGCCAGCCGAGCGCTGCTGGTCGGCGCGGGGTTCCCTGGCAATACCTCGGTGGCATTGGCTGATGAAACCTTGGATAAGGAATCCAGGGTCTGGAAGCCAGCGCAAAGCAAATCGTGGATTGGCCATGTGTATCACCGCCGCGCTCATGAGATACGGAATCGTCCAACAGGGACTGGAGCCTCCTGGGCACGTTCCTTAACCAACGCCCCACCGTACTCCATAACCTGGGCACGGGGGCAGGCTCCGCCGAAGCCCACCAAATCCGCCGCCTCAGTGCAGGCTGCGAAACCGTGTTGGCGTGCCGAGTTTTATCACGGCTGTCTACAATTCCATGTTTTATCCTCCTCCTCCTCCTCCTCCTCCTCCTCCTCCTCCTCCTCCTTCCTCCTCTCCTCTCCTCTCCTCTCCTCTCCTCTCCTCTCCTCTCCTCTCCTCTCCTCTCCTCTCCTCTCCTCTCCTCTCCCCCTCCTCCTCCTCCTCCTCCTCTCCTCCTCCTCCTCCTCCTCCTCCTCCTCCTCCTCCTCCTCCTCCTCCTCCTACTGCCCACACGGCAAAGCAAGGCTGGCTGTGACTTTCGCAGCGCTGCACTCCTCGACGCGGGACCTCCGGGGGGGGGGGGGGGCGGGGGGACCCCGCGCCCCCCTGGGGGAGCTGCGCCGGCCTCAGGGCGGGTGTGTCCTCCTACAGGAAGGAAAGAAACACACACAAACACAATTAATCGTCGATTCCCGAGAAGATATGGGAAAATATGGGAAGTGGGGGGGAAGACAAAAACCCGGAAAATATGTGAAAATATGGGGAATCTGTTTATTTGTGTGTATTTATTTGTGTCCCAGGGCCCCTTCACTACAGGTGGATTTTGGGCGAGAAATGAAATTGCACCAGAGAAACACCCCAATCAGCGGATGGTTCGGAATGGGATCGATGCAGAGATCGATAAGGAGATCGACCGGGAACCCGAGAACCCAAAACCCACCGAAATCGGCCCGGAGCCAATGACCAGGAACCCGGGAGACCGGGACCGGGAACCCGGGAACCCAGCCGGCCACCAGAAATCGGAGGGAGACTTTTCGCCACATCTTTCCATTTCCGCTATAGGGCCCCTTCCGTGCAGGCACTGATGGGGGAAAACTGCCCAAGCATACCCCCACATGCTCCAAAAGATGGTCACAACATCGTCCGCAGGCAATCTTTTTCTATGCCACCTTGGAACGCTCCTCCTGCAGACCCAGACCCCCGACGTCATGATTTTTTCATTACGTCGACCCCTGGAGGTCCCGACCCTTTCCCTATGACCGGCTTTGCATCCTGAGTCGTTTTTTGACGCTCCCGAGGCCCGGTGAGGGCCCCCGGAGGCCGAAAATTAGGAAAAACCTCCCGTCGTGATTTTTTCATTACTCGAGGGGGTCTGGGGAGGGGCATGCCCGACCTGACGCCAGCCACAGGTCGCTCCTTGGCGGCGCCCTCCGAGAGGGGATAGCGGACGAGCTGGAGAGGGAGCGCAGACCCCTCCTCGAGAAGAGGAAGGGGCCCTCCCGGCCTTCGGGGAAGCCCTCGCGGAGGCTTGGCGAGTCCTCCCATATTGGCTACCTACCCAGACCCCCTCGAGTAATGAAAAAAATCACGACGGGAGGTTTTTCCTAATTTTCGGCCTCCGGGGGCCCTCACCGGGCCTCGGGAGCGTCAAAAAACGACTCAGGATGCAAAGCCGGTCATAGGGAAAGGGTCGGGACCTCCAGGGGTCGACGTAATGAAAAAATCATGACGTCGGGGGTCTGGGTACCAGACCCCCCCAACCCAACCCGAAGACCCGAAATCGACCCGAGCTTCGGGTGAGGGGGGGTACGGGTTCCAGATGCGTTCTGGTCAGTGTTCCCCGACCATGCCACCCACCGGAAAGGGAGGTCGAGTCGGGGCCTTCGGGTTGGGCTGGAGTGGCTTGGTGGGCGGTGATAAATGAGGTCCGAGTGAATGGGGTCGGAGGATCGCGCCGCATCGCCAATGCATCGCCGGTGCATCGGCGACGTCGGCATTGCGAAACACGGGCTCCACAACGAACCGCATCGGCGATGCATCGGCGATGCGGCGCGATCCTCTGGGAGGCCTAGAGAGAAGGCGGAGCAAGCTTCTGCGAAGGCCGGAGGCCTTCCGAGCCTTCCGAGAGTGTCCGCCCCCGCTGCCTTGCCCTACGAGAGACAACGGCGCCCATGCCCCGCGCATGCACTGTATACCATGTCTGAATTCCGTTCGCGGTACGGTGCGTAGTTCTTTCGGCTCCGAGGGCCGAAAAACCATGCACCGTACCAACCCCAGACATGATCGCGTCGTAACAAAATATCCCCACGGGAGGTTGTTGGATATTTTCGGCCCCGGGGGGCCCTCGCCGGGCCTCGGGGCCGTCAAAAAACGACTCAGGACGAAGAACCGGTCCCGGGGAAGGGGTCCGAACCTCTGAGGGTCGACGCAATGAAAAAATCATGACGACGGGGTCTGGGGAAACCATGCACTGTACCAACCCTGGGTCGAGAATGCCGACGCCTCGGGAGACGCCAACGCGGTACGGCGGACAAGTCGTCCGCGGGAACAGTCGGGGCGTTGACCTAAGGAACATTAAATTAGGAACGAGGCACCTGTTTTCCACAAGTTAAACTTCGATTTCGGATCGAAAACATAAGGAAAACCTGAGGCAAGCTGCGAAACACTTAAGGAACGCGGAGCCCCTCCCCAACGAACAGGGTTCCTTCTTCAGGGCCCCGACTGTACGGCGGACAAGTCGTCCGCGGGTAATTACCACCCCGGGCGCGCCGCCGACCTCCGGCGGAGGGTCCCTCCCGCGCGCAGCCGAGGACGGCGAGCCGCGCAGGGTCGGTCAGGTTGGGCATCTGGTCGCCCAGGCCAGGCAGCCGGGGCAGCGTCGCCTCCTGCGTGCCCTGCGCCTGGGGCTGTGGGAACAAAAGCACACTGTGGGAAAACACACACACACACACACACAAAAAAAACACACACACACACACACACACTGTGGGAAAGAGACACACAAACAAACAAACACACACACACACACAGTGGGAAACAAAAACACACACAGTGTTTTTTCCCACAGAGGTGAGCGTTTTCTTACTCGGCGTTTCGACATCGGGCGGTACGGGGGGGGAGGGGGGCGGTCTGGCTCCGGATCCCTCTGCTTACTGCAGCTGTTTGCAAACGTGTGTCCTCTGGGGGAAGTGGCTCCACCTGCTCGAGACAGGAGCCAACAAACAGCCAAGATCCTCTCCAGGGGGGGGGTGCGAGGGCCCGCGCCGATCGGCAAAACAATGAATACGAAAACGATCACGAGGGGGGGGGCCAGAGGGCACTGTTTGGACAAACGCATTTTGAGTAGGCAGCTCCTGCCCCTCGCGTCGTGACAGGAACACAGGAGGACTGGATGTCTCCGATGACTTCGGCCTCCGGGGGCCCTTCCCGGGCCCTCAGGACCGTCAGACATTGACTCGGGATGGAAAGCTGGTCCGCGGGTAGGGGTCCAGAACCTGAGGGGGCCCACGTCACAAGAAATCACGACGTCGGGGGTCTGGAGTTGAGGACTACAAAGCTCGAGGGATTAGGGGGCTGCAACTTGGATCCACCAGAGCGAGTCAGAACCATACTAGAGCCCCCACAATTGCGAATTTGAAAATGAGGGGGCGGGGGGGGCCGTCGGCAGTGTGCGAGGCTCGGGAGCAAATTGTAAGACGCCCGCCGCACGCGCCGAGTTTGTTCAAGCAGCGCAGACGAATTTGCTGTTCAAAAGAATGCGGGTGGGCCGCGCGGCGTGTCGTGCCGGCGGGGCACACAATGGTGTCCTCCAAAACAAATGTAAAATGGCCCGCCGCTGACACCGATCTTGCGCATGCTTGAGATCCGACCAATGTGGGTGGGTCGCGGGTGGGTCGCGGCGCAGGTTTGTCGCGGGGGGGTCGTGGCACGGATGCGTCGCGGATGGGCCGCGTCGCGGCTGGCTCGCGGGTGGGTGGGTCGCGTCGCGGGTGTGTCGCGGCGCCGGTGGGTCGCGGTGCCGGCGGGTCGCGGGTGGGCGGCGCCAGCGGGTTGCGGCGCGGGTTTGTCGCGGGCGGGGGTCGCGGCACGGATGCGTCGCGGATGGGTCGCGTCGCGGGTGGCTCGCGGGTGGATCGCGTCGCGGGTGTGTCGCGGCGCGGGTGCGTCGCGGCGGGGATGGGTCGGGGCGCCACTTGAGTCGCTGGTGGGGCGACGCGCGGGTGGGCGGCTAGGCCAGAGTGGCGCACATGGGCCGCAGGGCGGCCGCGGGGCGACAACGGCAACACCGGCAAGGTAAACATTGAAACTGTTAAACTGTTCGCTCTTCGACGATCGCGTGTCATTCAACGTGTGTGTCCCAAGCCCTCGGCTCCCGCCCTCTTTGGTTATGGACGTGCCCAGGATATTGCAAGCGGTCCGGGCGGGCGGACCCTCACACGCGGGAGGGATGGGCGGGACATCCTGGTGGGGTCGTGCGGCGTCGGCGCGCGCCCAGGTTTTTCACATCGCGCCGACCGTTCAACCTGGAAACGGTCGCAGGCCCCGACCGCTCAAGATCGAACTCCGTCCCCAGACCCCCGACGTCATGATTTTTTCATTACGTCGACCCCTGGAGGTCCCGACCCTTTCCCTATGACCGGCTTTGCATCCTGAGTCGTTTTTTGACGCTCCCGAGGCCCGGCGAGGGCCCCCGGAGGCCGAAAATTAGGAAAAACTCCCGCCGTGATTTTTTCATTACTCGAGGGGGTCTGGGTCCATGTGGCGTTCCCGTGTCCCTCGGTGCTCCCTCGTCGCCCCGCCGTCCAAAAAGGCTCCACCTCGCACGCCTGCGCCGGCGGGCGCGCTTTTCGGGGCCGCGGCGCGGGCGGGCCCCGCTGCCCGGCCACCCGGCTGCCCCAATACTCTTGCGGCGCGTGGGCCCCGTGCAGTCCAGACCGCCTGCCCCCCGGGGGCCAGACCGTCCTCACCTCCTCCTCCTCCTCCTCCTCCTCCTCCTCCTCCTCCTCCTCCTCCTCCTCCTCCTCCTCCTCCTCTTCCTTCTCCCTCAAGGTTTCTTCCTCCTGCCCCCCGGGGCCAGACCGTCCTCACGAGTCGTCTCGTGACGCCCCCGAAGCCGGAGACGGGCAGCAATCCGCCCGCCCAGACCCCCGACGTCATGAGTTTTTCATTATACGTCGACCCCTGGAGGTCTGGACCCCTTCCCCGGGACCGGCTTTGCATCCTGAGTCGTTTTCTGACGCTCCCGAGGGCCGGTGAGGGCCCCCAGAGGCCGAAAATGACCCAAAACCTCCCGTCGTGATTTTTTCATTGCCCGAGGGGGGTCTGGGGAAGCCGGAGGCGGGCAGCAATCCGCCCGCCCCGATGTCTCTGGAGCGTCGGGCCTCTGGGGACCTTGCAGCGCGCGGGTCGGGGTGGGGCGGGCGGGCCCCGAAGGGCGGCCCGGGCGGGCGGGCGGGCCCCACCGCGTGCAGGGAGGGGCGGCCTGGCCCCATGAATGGGCGGGGCGGGGCGGGCGGGCGCCCACGGGGCGGGACGGGCGAGGCGCGACGAGCCCATGGAGCATGTTTTTGAAGGGGCCCCAGGACACACAAATAAATACACGCCAATAAACAGATTCTCCATAGTTTCCCATATGTTCTGGGTTTTTCCGTCTTCCCCCCCACTTCCCATGTTTTCCCATATCTTCTTGGGAATCGCCGATGAATTGTGTCTGTGTGTTTTTCCCCCTCCTGAGTTTTGCGGCGGTATCGGCTCGTCGTAGAAGAAGGATAGCGGCAGGAATTCCGCTGGCCATGTTCGGCCTCCGGGGTCTTCGCTGGGCCCCAGGACGGGCAACGAAACGATTCGGGATGAAAGCCAGCCCTGGGGAGAGGGCCGGGACTTCCACGGACCGCGGATGGAAAAAATCAGGACCGCGCATTGGAAAAATCGGAGCGGCAACGTCGCGACTCCTGAATACATCCCGTGGAGGTCCCAGGCGAGGCCCGGCGAGGGCCTCCGGAGGCCGAAAATAGTGAAAAACCTCCCGTCATGACTTTTTCATTGCCCGAGGGGGCCTGGGTTGCACGCCCCCTGCTGCGGACCCCCTCTTTCGCCCTCCGAGGCAAGCGCCAGGAGCGACCCCGCATCCCGAAGGCGCCCCGCTGCACGACGGAGACCAGCGGCAGCGCAGCAGACGTCGCACGCCCTGCCCAAGAGGCCGACCACGGCGACAGCACAACCAAGATCGCGGGCGCGCAAGCATGGATTAGCGACTGGTATATGAGGTTATGTATAGGTATATAATGCGGCCGGTGCCGCCTCCCCAAACTGCTGAGCGTAGGTGCACCTCCCTCCTCCTCCTCTTCCTCCTCTTTCTCCTCCTCCTCCTCCTCCCTCCTCCTCCTCCTCCTCCTCCTCCTCCTCCCCCTCCTCCTCCTCCTCCTCCTCCTCCTCCTCCACCTCCTCCTCCTCCCTCGGTACCTATTGGTATGGCGCACCTCCCCAAAATGCGGCCGGTGCCGCCTCGCTCGGCGGCGGAAAGCCGCGGCTTCCCATGGAAACGAGGCCCGTCGCTAATCCACACCCCCTTGATCCAGGTTTGCGATCGCCTGGCAAGAACCGATCGAGCCAACAGCGAAAGTAAACCCGGCCGAAACCGAAAGGCCGCAAGCAGCTAGGACTTGGGTCGGGCATGTTCTCCTACAGGCGGATTTTGACGAAACATGAAACATCCAAAAACATACTCGAACATAGTCAAGGAATCGTCCCCAGATTATATTGTTGGACTATTTTTGAAGATTCCTCCTGCAGAGGGACAGGCCCGAATTAAGCTTTGAAGGGCACAGCGACGCAGCAACGGCACAACAACCGACACAACGGAGCCGAGCGAACCGAGCAGACTGCGAGGAAGCGCGACCGACCGAGGCGCGCTCCCCCCTTGCGTGAGCAATCGCCCGCGAGCAGAAACAAACAAACTGTCGGCGGTCCACGCGGCTTTCTCCGGCCGGCGCCGGACCCCCTCCCTCGCGCGCGGAGCGCCGTCCGGGGCGGCGCTGGAGGCGCCGCCGGGGGGGGTGGGGGCGTTCAGGCACACATCCAAGACACCCGCGCAGCCCCCTGCAAGTTTGTGCACAATCCCGCTCGCCTGACGCAGCGACCCACCCGGAAGGCCTCGTGGAATTCGGCGAGTTCGCAGCCCATTCTAGTACTCGCTGAGCCGACGTCACCCGGCCGCT